CGCAACGTCAGTGACGGTGTAGGCAACCAAGGCTTTAGGTGGAAGAGTGATGTCAGGTGCCAGGGCTTGTGAGCTGGTGATGGCTGGAACTGAGTGGCCCTCCAAAACCAAAGCCCTGGCTTCTGCGGAGGTGTCAGCCGATGGCCAGGCATCAATTGTGATCCTCTTTGCCTCTTCAGAGCTGTCATCAGTGCAGAGGATGTCAAAGACAGCTACCGAAAGATCACTAACTATAACAGTCTCCGCAGTGGTCACTCCACCTGAGGAGCTGCCACTTGTGGCTGATGTCTCCACAGGAGTGGTCATCACAACCATGAACTTGGAAGGTGCTATTTTTGTGAGATCCCTGGTCTTTGTGGCAGAAAATACGGTTGTGGTCTCCCTGGTCTCTGCTTCTGAGATGGTGCTGGCTGGGACTGAGGTTCTGTCAAAGGTCTGGGTGCCCAGCATTTGAGTTTCTAAAGGGGTGTGGCTTGGTACAGAGGGCTCAGCAAGGTCAGTGGTCTGGGAGGCTCCGTCTGAGCTTACCTTGACCCTCAGAGTCACAGCAGGCAGTTCTGTGTGGTTCATTGCCACTAGGGGGCCTGGTTCACTGATGCTGGGGCCTGTATTGAGTAAGATAACTTCGTGAGCCGTGAGTTCCCGTGGACTGGACTCACAGAAGTTCTTACGTTTATGCCCTGGGCACTGCTGGGACGAGGTTGGGAGGGAGAATTGCCTTTATTCTATGGGTCATCTATGTTTACAAGGAAGAAGGGGGTAGTATTGGGAAGACCAGTTCCATGTGACAGCCACAGAACTGGGATCGCCCTAACTGATGTCCTCTGACAGTCCACTTGAGGCAAGCGAACCCCACAATGTAGTTGATTATTGGTCTGAAGGCTTCAGAGAGACTGTGTGGGGCCAGGATCCAGCCTTGCGGGGGAGTAAAGAGGGCAGAAATCCACATGAGCCTAGAATTACAGAGCAGGGACCTCAACTCTCAGAACTTTCTAAAAGAAAGCTTGTCGCTTTCCCATCAATACTCTTCTCACCCAGTAAATGTTTCCCCGTGGAAGTTAAAACATTTCAACCATGAGAAACATCTGTGGTTTTGTGTTTAGAGGTAGCTGGGGGATTAGGAGAGAGGAACCTCCAGAGACAGTGTGAGAGGTGGCTGCTGCAAAGGGGGAGGGGAGCAGGCAGAGTCCTTTCGGCTCTCGCAAGGGGAAAGGGGTGAGTCTCCCATTCCTGCTCAGAACTCTCCTAAACATGTGCCTGAGATGGCAGGGACAGGACCCCGGAACTCCAAAAATGATTCACCGGCATTTTTCACAGGTAACAGGGAGCCAGGTGGGGCAAAATTTCACTTTTTAGAGAGAGATGCTCCTAGCATTTCTCCATAGGGTACAATGTCTCTGTTCACTTGCCAAGTCCTCTGAGGTTGTGTGAGTGGAGGGCCAGTGGGTGCTCATTGCCCTGGGAGAGGTTACAACAAGTTCTTTCATAGGCTCACAAAGGCATCTCTTCTGTCTGCCAAATGGGAGGGGCTCTCTCTGTAAGTGGACCAAGGCACCTCCTGGGAGAGTTGCCAGAGCTAGCAAATAAAAATTCAAGATGTTCAGTTAAATTTGAATTTAAATTCCAGATAAACAAGGAATGATTTTAATGACAAATAATTGTTTTAGTATGTGTATTTGTTTCCCATGTAATATTTGAGACATACTAAAAAAAACTTCATTATCTGAAATTCAAATTTAAGGGGACATCCTGCATTTTACTAGTAACCCTACCCTTGGAAGGAAGAGGATCAAAATATAAGCCCCTTTTTGCAGAATTCTGATAATTTGAGATGGTCTTTACTGAGATCTACTGTCTCAAAAGTGTGTAAGGACATAAAGGAGGTCCAGAACCACGTGGTCACATCTACCCAGGGTGTCGGGACAGGGCCCCGGGTCCTCAGCTTGTCCTCCTGTGTCTCCCACTGAGCGGGGAGAGAGCACTGGGTTCCAGTCCCAGGTCCATTGCTTATTAGGTTTGGAGTCTGGTGGTTTAATGATTCCGACCCTGACCCTGCCTCCCGCTATGAGGCCAGTCACCAGGCCTCTCCAGGCCTGTGAAAGACACCCCGGTCCCGGCCTTGCTGTGGTGGCAAGGACAAAGAGGAGAAGGGAATGGGGAAGTTCTGTTATTCCGAAGCCTGCCAAGGGTTATTAAGCATCTCTCCCCCACCGTGTCCGCTCAAGGAGTCACTCAAGAACGCACTATCTATTTTAATACAGTGAGAAATTCCAGCTGTACCCACATGCTTATTAGGTGGGCCACAGCATCGGCTCTCGTGCCTTGTTCAGTGCAGTCTAACTACACACACAGATCATGCTTGTGCAAGAATGTGCTCTCAAAGCCCAAGATATTTCTCCGAGCCTCCCCACACAATGGAAGGAAGCAGAGACTTTCTGGGTCAGCCCTGAAACCCAGAGAGCGGTTTGGGTTCTCGGGGTCTGACCACTGACCTCCCCTGACACTGTTTTGTCATTGTCCAGGAGCCATGTGGCATCCTCCTGCTTCCCAAACCCTTAGCCTGTTCATCTCCAGGGCTCACAATCCCCTACCCACATCTCTTACCCACAAGGGGTCTTCTCAAACAGAAGATCTCAAAACAGAGGTCTTCTCAAAGTCCACCCTGGCTTCTATAGCTCTAGAATGTTGCAACTTCCTTGCTTCGTGCCTCAAATCGAACTAGTGGAGTAAAGCATGTGGACTTTAGGCCCTGAGTCTGAGTTTTCTCTTTTCTGCTCACTCTGTGGCATACAGCCTATGTGACGTTGGCCATGTCTCCTGGCTCCCAGGATGCACTTTCTCCTGTATGATGGAGCCAGGGGTACCTATTCATAAAGTTGTGAAGATTAAATTAAATTAAATGTAGAATGTGCAGCACAAGCCTTATAGATCAGAGCGCATTCAAGAGGTGGTTGGTGTGTATGCTGGTTAGTCATGTGTAGCATCAAAATCTGGCTCTGCAGCTATTACTTAACCCTGGCAAACTTCAGTCTCCTCACTTTTAGTGGGAAGGGGAGGGTAAGAATTGTATCTCTCTCATAGGGTTATTGTGAAGATTAAAAAGATAGTGCACTGGAGCATATGGGATATCTCTGTACTTTCCTCTCAGTTTTGCTAACCTAAAATTGCCCTTAAGAAAATAAAGTCTTAGCCCAGACTGGTGTGACTCGGTTGGTTGGTCGGTCATCATCCCACAAAGCAAAATGTTACTGGTTTGATTGCTGGGTTAGGTTCCTGGTCGGGGCATGCACAAGAGGCAACCAATTGATGTTTCTCTCCCTCTCTTTCTCCTTCCCTTCCCCTTTCTCTAAAAAATAAGATAAAATAAAATATTTAAAAATAAATAAAATCTTTTAAAAATCCTGGGATAGTGACAGCCTCGTCAAGGTAAGAAATGAGCCCAATGACCAAGAACTCCACTCCCAGAGAAGAAGTGGATCTGTGTCTGCACTGGTGTTTGAGAAGCCGGCTTGGAGTCCAGAGCACCCCTCTCCTCGCCCAGTAACATGTGTGGTCCCCTCTGCATCTGTCCTCCCAGCCCTTCTCAGAGGAATGGAGACTGATGCATTTCCTCCTCCCTGTGTTCACCAGGGTTGTTGGGACACTGTGTGATTTCTCAGTGATATCCTACAGTGCTGGTTCCTCTCTCGAGGATGGGAGGCGATAACTATCTCAGAAATTCCCAATAATTTTTTATTATTTAAGCTAGAAAAGAAGATAAGGCATGATAATGACTTGTCAATGGAGGTTTATTGATTGTAGCACATGTACTGTTCTGGTGCAGGATGATGAGAGCAACGAAGGCTCTGTGTGTGGGGTGGGGGCGGGGTATGTGGGAATCTCTGTGCTTTGTGCTCAATTTTGCTGTGAACCTAAAACTGCTCTAAAAATTAAATGCCATTAAAAAAAGACAATGCATGTGACCAGCTTGGCACAGTTCCTATTATAGATCAATGTTAGTTCTCTCATAAAAGTCCTGCTTCTAGAATTCACCCTCCCCAGTCTGTGACAGTCAGATATTTCACACACAAACTGTATTTTAAGTATAAACTTGAAGGAGTTAGAATCATGTTTTTTCATGTCAAGCCATGTTTTTTGGCTTTAGTTATGTTTATCACGAGCTGGCACCTCCCTGCCCCCCACTTGCTCACACTCCCACAGGCAGAAAGGCAAGCCCACAGTGACCTCACAGTGACATCGCTCATTTGTATGAACCGAAGCGCCATGCATGCTTAAGGGCACACACTGCCATTTGTGTATTCTTTATCAGTAATAGTGAAGCTGGAGGTCCTTATAGTTTTGATTAATTTACCTTTAAATCCTAGTTCTAGAAATCTCTCTCCCTCCCTCTCTCTCTACACACACACACACACGCACGCACGCACGCACGCAAGCACGCACGCACCCCCCCCCCCCCCCAAAGACCTAGCCTTTCCACAGTAATCAACGACCCCCGAGGCAACAGAAGTCAATAGCCTGACCCTGACTAATGATCACAAGGTACAGACCTCTGGCAGGCTAAAGATAACATCTTGATCTAAGTTCTGTTTCAGTTCCTGAGCCCTAAGGTGAGCAGGCCCCCTCACTACTTTCCCAGGAAACCAGAACAGACCTTAAGATCTGAAGAAATGATTTAGTACAACCCCTTAACCCATGGTGTCTCATGATTTTGCCATGTATAATCTGTGACCCACATAATATGATACAGTTCAGGCTTTTGAGCATTAATTAGCTTCCCATTCCCCTGGATGGCACCATTCATAATAAAATAGCCAATCTTTCTCTACTGCAATTCTCGGTGTTTAGTGTTTGGCTCTGCTGGTGCCAGGTGGATGAACTCTTTCTGTGAGATAACAAAAGTAGTGCTTCACATAACGGTTATTAAATTAGCCCAAGTTAGCTACCCTCACCCACAAAGTCCTGCCAGGAGAGAAGCCCACAGGACCCTCTTGCCCCCTTACCTGTAGAGCTCCCAGCAGCCCCAGCCTCCCAGCAGCAGAAAAAAAGGGGCAGAGCCAGGCCGTGGAGAGTGCCCATCCTCACTGGGACTCCAGCCACCGCTGAGGAGCAAGCCTTCCTGCTGCCTCTCACAGCCACCTGTTCCTGCTTCTTCTACCCAGGGAGGAGGAGCCAGCAACCTGCGTAGGTGTGACCAAGCACTTTCCAGATGCAGCCAGCTGATCACAGACACACGGGCTGAGAGTTGGCAGGGTCATACCGGGGGCTGTCAGCAAAATAACACTCCTGCCTTCCCTTGCCCGGTGCCTCTTCTCTCTAGGGTCTGATAGGAAGGTATGGAATCGTTTCCACGGTGACACCCTGTAGTCCTGCAGTCCCGGAGGTAATGGGAGACAGTGCTTCACACTCCTTCCCCGTCCCCACCCTCTTATGCCTCTGGCTTGGGCTATTAGTTAAACAGACTTGGGTCTCATTCCTAATCTTAGACTTTATTAGTGTAATCTATGGCAAATTAGAGAAACTTTCTGAACCTCAACTTCCTGGTTGTTAAATGGGCATAATTCCCACCTTGCTGGAGTCTTTTGTAAGGTTCATGAGAGAGTGAAGTCTTACACAGTGCCTGCTACACACTTGGTGCCCACCAAAAACATGCAGCTTAGGCACTCAGTAGGTGAGGGAGGGCCCTGGTGTTTGCTCCAATCCTCACACAGTAGAAAGAAGAGACAACCCCCCGAGGTCCGGAGGAGACAGTTTTCCAGGGTGGGGCAAGCAGGACTCTGATTCTAACAGCCTTCCAGTGTCACATCCTGTGATTCTGCATCTGAGTCGGAGGCAGGAACATGTCCCTCTGCTGGCCTGGAGGTGCAAGGTGGAGAAGGCACTAGGTGGGAAAAGGGAAGGGGTAGGTGTGCTGGTTTCAGGCACAGCATCAGGGAGGAGGAAAGTGTGAGGGTGATGACTTACAGAAGCTTAGGGGATGTGGTCACAAAGAGGGGAATGAAGCTGCTGAATACACATCCAAATGTCTTAGAGAAGACTCATCCCCATGAGGAACCGATGAGCTGTTAATGCCACAGCCAGGGGTCAGACAAAGTACCCTGGGCATTTCAGGACAAGAGTTTTATGGTAAAAGCAGCTCTAGAGTAGAGGAAAGCTGGCTGGATTGGCATCGAGAAATCACAAAACCGCAGGGCTGAAGGAACTTTAATGTGGAATCAGAAGGTCTAGCTAAGTTCTATTTCTTGCTTCTTCCTTAACAATGGCCCAGGACTGTGTGATCTTAGACAAGTTATTTGTCCTCTCTGGGATTTGGTCAACAAGAGCTCTGAAATCCTCTTGGGCATGCAGTCTGACGTTCTGCATTGAGTCTGTGATTGCCTCCTAGAAGTTAACCCTGAATTGGAAAAAGGGATCTGCTACTGGAAGGAAGAGCGAATCATTCCAGGGCATTTGATGAGGGGAGACTCTATGAGAAGAGACTAAGGGGACTCCATCTGGGACACAGTCCAGCGCTTGGCGTCAAGGATCCTGGACTCCAGTTCCAACTGCACTGTTAATCTGTAGAGTACTTCTGGAATGGGCTGAGCCCTCCCATTTAACCTCAGTCCTTCACTTTATAAAGTGGGAAGATGGATTCCCCTTTGGGGTCTTCAGGTGGGAGAGGGGACCTGGGATCACAGCAATGACCTGAATTCTGCTCAGCCCTGTCCAGTAGTAGAGTATGATCTTGTGAGAGCCTTCTCCTCCTAGAGAAGATGGAGAGAAATCCAGCATGAATGCAGCTCCTTTCTGCCACCTCCCTTCTTTCCTGGGCTACCACCCAGGCCAGAAGAGGGACTTCTGCATTCCAGCAGCCAGTGGCTTAATCTACAAACAGGTGTTCCGGGCCTTTCCCACTCACATCTTGGACTCCCCCTCTCCATTTCCTTTTTATTTTCATCGTGTAAATGGTCCACATCCCAGCTCCAGCCATGGCAGGTGAGGAGGCGAGGAACTCTCCAGGAGGGAAGAAGCCTGGCTGAATGCTTCCCTGGGTTTGCTGAATTTGTCTGGTCCATTCTCCTCTGTTTCTGGGGAAATTTCTAAGCCTGGGCAATGAATGTTGGCTTCAGGGCCATAATAATCTATTCATGTAGTTCCTGGACCCCTTTTTTCAGCCAAACTCAGCTCTCACCCAGAACCTGCATAAGAGGCTAGTTTCATTAACTTAATGAACATAGCTGAAGCACCTACTGTAAGCCAGACACTGTTCAAGGCACTTGGAATACATCACTTAGTAAAACAGATTCCTGCCACACGGAACTAACTTCCTATTGAGGAGAAATGGCAAACAATAGAGGTATAAATAAGTGAATTACATAGGGATGAATACTACAGAAAGAATAACTGGGGTCCAGTAGTTGGAGACCTGCAAATAATTAACAGGAGAAAAGAAAAAGTTTATTTACATGTACACCAGGAAGTTGCTCAGTAGTGACTAACTCACTGAATAACCAGAAATAAAGATGTATTTACCAAACTCAACAAGGGGGTGGGAGTGGGGGAGGGAAAAGTTTAGAAAATTCTACTGGAGGTGAACTGGCTGGAAAATCCCTCTGAGGCAGAATAATGACAGCTGCATTTTTGGAAGGCAGTGTTTTAGTCAGATAAAGAAAGTTCAGATAACATTTCTTTCTGTATTGTCAGTAGTCAAATGTTTCCACTTTTAATCTTTACACCAAGTCTGGGGGTCCGAGTGGATCCTCACATTGCTCAAGATGCCGAGTGTGCACAGACTATGTAGATAGGACCCTGTCAGGCAGGAGAGGCGCTGAGAATCATCTAAGTGCACCAGGCGCTGAAAGTGGGCCCCCTTCCAAGCCCTGCTCCCTTGGATGGCAGCCTAGGGAGCTCTCTGCTCATTTCTCCATTCATTTCTTTTATTCGGATGTAATCTGCACACGGTAAATTATATAAACCTTAAGTGGTATATTGCTTGATGAATTTTTATATATGTGTGTACCCAGGATGTATCTGCCACTCAAATCACAATAAGATGACATTTTCAGCACCTCAGCAGGCTCCCTTGTGTTGTCTTCTGGTCAATATCCCCTCAAAACCACCATTCTTACCTGTATCACCATAGATTAGTTCTGCCTATTTTTGAACTTCATATAATGCATAATTCCATTATATGGTGTCTGGTTTATTTCTATTAACATTATGCATGCAAGACTTACTCATGTTGTATATAACAGTACTTGATTCTTTTTTGTTTTTTGGTAGTATTCTATTGTATAAATGTGCCACAATTTATTTAGGTATTTTTCCTGTGGATGAACATTTGGATTGTTTCCAGTTTTTCACTATTTTGCATAAAGCTGCTATGAACATTCTTTTATGTCTTGGGTATACACACAAGAGTGGAATTGCTGGGTCTGTGGGTATACGTATGTTTACTTTAGTATGTAGAATCAGTTTTCCAAATTAATTGTGCCAGCTCATTCCACACCAGCAAAGTATAGTTCCTGATGCTCAGCAGTCTCATCAACAATTGGTATCGTTGGTCCTTTTAACTTTAGACATTCTTGTGGATGTGGATTTCTCATTGTGATTTTACTTGTGACCCTCTGTTTTCCCAGGCAGTATGCTGCTGCCAGGGAAATGACTTTCACAGGGAAGGTATTTGGAGGAGACAGGAAGGGAGAATGAAGGACCAGGTAGAAATAAAATATGCATACATGCCCTGGCTGGTTCACCCAGTTGGTTGGAGCATCGTCCCGTGTACCAGAAGGCTGCGGGTTCAGTTGATGGTCAGGGCACATAATCTAGGTTGAGGGTTCAACCCAAATTCAGGGATGCATACGGGAGGCAACCAATTGATGTTTTTTCCTCTCCCCCCACTTCCCCTTCCCTTCTCTTTAAAATCAATAAACATATCCTTGGGTGAGGATTTAAAAAATGCATGCACACATGCACACACACGCACACTCAGCTAGAGAGGAACCTGTGTCAGTACTGGAACATCTCAGAAACTGTTTCTTTAGTTTGGATAAACTTAGCTGATGAGGACCCAGGATGCCCACAAGATGATACATCCCTATCGGAGAGGCCATATCTCACAGTCTCACCTGAAAAACTCTTCCTAGAAAGGACGGGAGAGCTCAAGCTCTGGAAGTATAAGTGGGGTACACCCAAACAGGGCCCAGCACTGTCTCCACCCCAGGCTCCTCTGTCCCTGGCAGGAAGAGAAACCTGTGGCTGGAAGAGCTGGAGGGAAGAAACATGTGTTTCTGAAAGCCCGTGGGGGGGTTACCTTACATATACCATTTCAAATCCTCTTGGCCTCACTCCCTTACTATAGCCTCTGCTACAGAGAACATTTTCCCAGAAGCAACCAGGCAATGTCCTGCCACATGCCATTTGCTCTCTGCCCAAGGGTTTCCCTGACACCAAGGCTTGAGATGCTTCCAGGAGCTGCTCGGCTCTCACACACCAGCAACAAAGGACTGGGAGGGTTATCACCTATAGAACAATCCACAGACCATAGGAATGGGAGCTGATGGACAGATGTTTCCTGTGTCACTCCTGGGTCAGACACTTCTCAGACACACTTTATAAGGCTTCTTAGAAGGTCCCACAGGATCAACCCACCAGTCAGCCATAGCAGGAGCCAACTGGGTAAGCATCTTTGTATTGGGTCTCCTTTGTTCCTTGTTCTACTGTCCCTTTCACTCACCCCCACTCACTGAGACTGTGTTTCTAAATAAATCATTTATGTTCTGCTTTCAGAGAAATTAAGATTAGCAAAGATGTAGAGCAAGGCTTGAGTGGGGGTAATGGGTCATTCCATTCATGTGGAACATAGGAGTGAGGAAGGGGATGGCTAGCAGGTGGTAAGATCAAAATGTGCCTTGGGGCCATGAAGCCAGTGATGGTTTTTGAGTAGGGAACTGGCAACACCGGAGCTCTGCTTCGGGCACTACAACATGGGCAGGCACCAGCTAGGGGACAGTCAAGGGCAAGAGGGCCAGTTAGGAGGCTGTGACCTGGGTCTTGAGCAGCGTGACTATAAAGGGAGCAGATGTGAACCATGCTGTGAAGTA